CTGGGGAACAGATCCTAGATTAACCCTGTTCAGTTTTTCTGTTATTTTCCCTGTTCCTAGCCACAGCTGCAGCGTGAATCAGTCCATCCTCAGGCATTGCAGGCCCTCTTCTCTTCTCCCCAGGGCAGCCCGGTAACCCCTTCCCCAGCCCTCTGCCAAGTGGAGCCTACACCTGAAACCCTGAACTCTCTGCCACCCCCCGCCCCCAGTGCACAAACAGAAACATGGGAAATCGTTCCCTTTCCAAGCTGTGTCCCCCTTAGGGAGATACGCTGAGATCAGGCACTGGGCTGATTCTCCACCATGCCCTGTCATCATTTACACCAGTGCGAAATGGCTCCTGAATGCTGCTATTCGGCATCATTTCCCGAGCTGGCAGGGAAAGCAGGAGCAGGGTTAGTCTTGGCACATCAGGTGGCAGCTCCCAAAGGGGGGTTCTGTGATCCAACCCATCACAGGGGTTACCGGGCTGCCCTGGGGAGAAGAGAAGAGGGCCTGCAATGGCTGAGGATGGAATGATTCACTCCACGGCTGCGGATAGAGAATGGGGAAATTAGCAGAAAAACTGAACAGGGTTTATCGAGGATCTGTTCCCAGTAGGGGAGGGACCGAATCCTGTTCCACCCCTTGCTCAGCCCTGACCCCTGCCTCAATAAAACAGGAAACTCTTTAATCGTTAGAGAAGTCAGACCCTTCTCTTCATTTCAGCCCCTGCAGCAAAGTCCAGGAGAGTTTTTTTCCCCCCAGCAACTGATATTGTTCCAGCAGCAAAGAGGAGGACACAGGACGGTTCATCAGCACGGGCTGCGTAAGGTTCGTCCCTAGATCGGCTGCACCACGATGCTGCCAGAGGAGAGGGGAGCTTGCTCTTGGGGGTTGGATGCGCTTGAACCACTAATGAACCACTAACCAAATGGGGGCTTCTCTTTGTGCTTCTCTTCCCTGGAGAGGCATCAGGGCACTGGGGGTGGGGGTTACGGTTGCCAACCCTCCCATTTTCACTGGTAGACTCCCAGAACCAGGCTCTATCTCCTGAAGGCTCCTGAAGCCAAACGGGGAGATTTTCGGCCGCTGAAAGTCCAGTGGCGAAGCAGTGCTAAGGCAGGTTCTCTGCCTACCCTGGATCCACGCTACTCCCGGAAGTGGCACGTCCCTGGGTCAGGGGGTCTCTGTGTGCTGCCCCTACCCCGAACACTGACTCCGCAGCTCCCATTGGCTGGAAACTATGTCCAATGAGAGCTGCGCAGGTGGAGACTGCAGGCAGGGGCAGCACACAGAGCCCACTGCTCCCCCCACAGGGAAGCAGCGTGGGGCCAGGGTAGACAAGGAGCCTGCCTTAGCCTTGCCGCTCCAGACCGGGAGCTGCCTGATGTAAGCCCCGCCCGGCTGGATCCCACACCCCTGAAACCCTCACACACCCCGAACCACCTCCTGCACCCCAACACCCTACTCTAGCCCTGAGCCCCCTTCTGGAGCCTGTACCCTGAATTCCCTCCTGCACCCCAACACCCTGCCTCACACTGAGCCCCCTCCTGCACCCTAACTCCCTCCCACAGCTAGCACCCTCAACCCCAATCTCCAGCCCTGAGCAAGTTCCTGTGCCCGCACCCCCTCCCGCACACCGACTCCCTTACCCCAGCCCTGAGCCCCTCCTGTGCCTGAACCCCATCCCACACA